TACCATGATACTAATATAGTGGAGGCGGCAGAGTGGTGGATGATTTTTTGATGGGTATGACCCCGAGAGCTCAAGACAGTGATGGAGACTGCACAAGCATAATAACCTATGGCGGCTGAATGAAGACATCTGCCCATTCAGCTTTAATTAGCGGTAGGGGAATAAATTTTTGGAGTGGCCTGAAAGGTGTGTAGTGATTAGAAAGTCAGACCACTGGACGGCGCAGTTTATAGGCAAGTGTCACAGGAGCCACACTTCAGCTCAACACTCAACGGGTCTTCATCAATAACTCACCAGAACATTAGTAGAGGCATATATATAAGTAAAGCATATATATAAGTGAGGTCAGTACTTAAGTTACTCTACTGATTTAATGAAAACAACAAGTAAAGTTACAAACCCAAACAAGTACCTGAGAATAAAATTACGTTAATTTTAATTTTAAATTTCTAATCAAGGATGAGAGAACGTCTGCTATGTATTACTATTACCACTGATATGATTAAACTAATATCAGAAGATGGATAGGGAGAGATCATCTCTCTCCTAGTACTTTTTTAATCATAGAAATCAGAAAAAAAGAGGGTTGTATGTAGTCCTAGAATACAGTAATTTTGAATTGAGAGGTGCCTAAATTTCACATCAAAATGATCTAACACCACCACTAGAGTTAATGCCTCTTCTCAATCGTGGGGATAGTTTTTTCTGGTAACTTTTGATTTTAGTAGCATATAGGATAGTGGGGTGTCAGTGCTTTTATGACTTCTGTAGAAACCCAAAACCCACCACATTAATTATTTGCATCTATATGTAAGTAAAGGGGATTGCTAAGGGGTTTAAGGGTTCCTCGAGAAAGGAACAGACTAGAGCAAGCACCTGACCTAGTGAACGACATGTGCAATCATAAATCAAGCAAAACCTAACTTGCTGCGCTGAAACCCGAGGAAAATTAGGACAAAGGTTGAGGGAATAACCAAGAAATCTCTGGACTCCCTTTCTAGCAGTACTGGAAAGGCCAAAATGGCATGAGCCTTTTCATCAATAGGAGCAACCTCACCTTGACCTATGCAAAAACCAAGATATCTAATCTTGGCTGGGGCAAAACTACACTTAGCCAAGTTCACCATGAAGTTGTAGTGTACTAATTACTCAACTCTTGAGACATGTCCCAAGGGTTTCCACCCGTCATCAATATAATCCACTAAGTTTCTCCAGATATGCTCATCTCTGACCAAGTTATAAGTCAAATTGTGCATCCACACATTGGAAAAAAAAAAGCTGTGTTGCATAAACCAAATGGAGTAAAGAGATGGCTGGATAATCAATCCTCTTGAAAAGAAAAAACAGATTTTGTCTCGAGCATGCTTAGTAAAAAGGACGTAAAGGATCTAACAGCAAACAAACAAAGTCCCAATGCAGATCAATAAGACTCTTGCA